TGTTGTTTCTGGTCCTTGCTCAGCTGACCGCCCCTTGTAACCAGGAGATGTGAAGGAGTGAGACATTTAGCACCTTCAAAGCATTTTATTAGCAAGACATTCGGGGGGCAACTTCAGTGTCAGATCTGGACTTTGTTCCGGGGGAGGGGAGAAGTGGGGGGAGATGGAGATGAGATGGAGAGCTGGAGGGGAAGGGTTACAAGACAGAGGGGTGGAGCAGGGGGCGAAAGAAAGAAAAAGAAGGAAGAGAAAGGTGAGTGAGCGTCTGTGAGTCCCGGAGGCAATCAATCCATTGCCTGGCAGCTTCCCTGTTTGCTGCTCCATTAATGAGGTCATGGGGGGAGCTGCAGACAGGGCCAAGCAAACCTGACACAGATTAAAAACGGTCTGGCTACCTAAAGGGCTGGGAAATGAGAAGCCAGGCCCAATTATCCAGAGGAATAGAGGGGAGGCCAGTTGATACCGGTGATTAAAAATGCTGGGTATTATTACTGATTGGTGAGAAGGGAGGAGTAGCCACAGGGGCTTTTCCCCTTGCACCAACACGTCCCAAGTCCCACCTGCCCCAGAGCAAAGCCAAGTCCCAACGTGTCTCACTCCTTCACATCTCCTGTTCACCAGGGTCGGTCAGCTGAGCAAGGACCAGAAACACCACGTGACTGAGGTGCCCAGGTTGGCCTCTCCAACGCCTTGCGCCGAATCCCATCTGGCGAGTCCCGGTGCATTTCCTCGCCAAGCGCACTCAGGCCTTGAGAAGCCAGGGCTGGTCTGGTGCATGCTGTTTGAGCTGCTTTAGCAAAGACGCGGTGGAACGGACGCTCCCTTTGTGACAATTTTAAAGGCGGAAAAGGAACTTCCCAGGCATGGGGAATATTCTGGCCTCCCTACAGGCTCAATCCATTCAAACAGCATCTCCCTGGCTTGTCACTGCAACCCCTCTGGGACGGGGCATCCTCTGCTTGGCACAGGCCTATACCTCCGGGCAGTGTTTCACTCCACCACCTTCAACGTACTAGTGCAGGCGCAGGATTTACAGCGCCCCCCCAGTTTTACTGCCCCTTCTCCGAAGGTGGGGGGAGCAGAGGTGTCTCCTCCCAGAGAACTCCCTTTTGTCAGCCCTACTAGCCTCTCTCTCTTCTGCTCCTTCCCCCGACACGGCCTCCCTATGCTCTTCTCTCCAGCCTCCTCGTTAATGGGCTGATTTACTTCCCCACCCCAATCGGATCTGATCGCCTCAATCAGCCCAGGCCGCTGGACTGCGACCAGGGTGCTGGCTCAGATGCTGATTCCCAGCACTCTGCCCCGGGGCCCCTCCACTGGCTCGCCCTTCACTGCATCCAACACAAACCGCTCGTCTTCGCTCTCACGGCCTATCCCCGCCTCGGCTCTCATTTGCTACCCAGACGCTGACGCCCCACTCTGATCGGCCAGCGACGCCGGCCTCCGGCGCCCGTTCGTGACATTTTCTGACAAGCACCTTCGTGCCCCTCATGCTCCCCGTAAACATCAGCAAAACCACCTCGTCCTCCTCCTCAAAAGTCCCCTTTGCTGTGAGCCTGAAGAAAACCTAGACGCCGGTTAGGCAGCTGGTGTGCTGATACCGTCTGCTGCCTGTTTTACCGACCGGGATTGTCTTGTATTCCCCTGGCTGACACAGTCACCCATTGTCGTTCAAAGTTATCCTTAGATTGTAGCTCTTTGGGGGCAGACCCTGTCATTTGGGTCATAGAATCATAGAATATCAGGGTTGGAAGGGACCTCAGGAGGTCATCTAGTCCAACTCCCTGCTCAAAGCAGGACCAATTCCCAACTAAATCAGTGCCTAGCCCAATGCTGCCCTGATCCATGCCTCGGGCCTGGAAATGCTACAAGAATACAAGGAATAGATAATGTTACTAATCTGGGCAAACCACTTTGCCATGGAATTCAGAATAATGCCCATCTGGGATGGTTGGTAGATGTCCATTGCGGACAGTGAGCTGTCTACACGGTACAGCTGACCTGATTCAGACCCAAGAAGGCGTTTGGCAGCTAGGAGAAGAGGGGAGCAGTGATAACCCTGCGGGGGGGGGAGTTTTGGAATTTGGGGGAGGCAGGAATGGGAGGGACAGACCCAGGGTTACAAGTGGGAGGGTGGTTTCCAGATGGGAGAGGAATCAAGCAGGGAGGGCCTCCTCCCAGCAGGGTGCAAAGGTGGGGTTGGAAGTTGGGGTGTAGGATAGCTTGGGGGTGCAGAAAGGGGATCAATTTTCAGTGTGATTTCCAGTTATTATTTATATGGTGGGAGCACCTGGAGGATCAGGGTGCAAGATGCTGTACAAACAGAAAACGCCCAACGTGCTTAAAGAGTTTAAGGGAGCAAGGGAGTCAGATTTTGCAGGGTGGTGGGGTTAGTAGCTGGGTCGGGATCGTACGGTTTGACGAGGGCCTTGTCTAGTTAGCTGCTCAACTGCACTGGATGGGATGTCCAGTGCTGAGCCGGGCAGCTATGTCACGTTCTAACCCGTCCTTCCTGCCCAAAGCAATGCTGGCCGGCTAGCTCCATCCCTGCACTGCTCTTTCTTTATCCCTCACTCTCCCCGCTCACGTCACCCGGTCAGGGGGCTGCCAGCCAATCACAGTACAACGGCCGTCGCGGTACCCGCCGGCTTTCCTCAGGGCGCCCCACAGAAGCATCTGAGTGTCAGACGCCCCGACTGGCTTGCTCTGGCACACTGCTCGGCGGGGTGAAACACTGAGGGGCATTTCGGGGGTTGTGGTTATTTCCAAGGAGACCTCAATCTGCTGAGGCAGACGCTCTCCTAAGAAACGTTCCCCCTTCACCAGTCCCATGGGCAGGGATGCTTCCCCTGGCTGAAGAGGCCTGAGCAGCTTAGGAGAATGTGGCCACCACAGTCAGGACAAGAGTGAAGGTATCACCAAGGGAGCAAGAACATCTGCTCTTACCAGGAGCACCAGGATCATGGGGCCTTGGTAGATGTAATCGGTATAGACTCCTGCTTGCTTCCCGAACCAGCATCTGTAAGCCAAGCGAACGGGGCGGTCAGCATCAGGGCCATGAATCTATGCACAACTTCTCGGAAGAGCCCCTCCTAAGGCCTTGTCTACATGGGAAATTGTATCGGTGTAAGGTAGGGTGTGAATTTAAAGCACAATAACTAGTCGGGTATAACTCCCCATGTGGAGACGCTTAATCCGGAATAGAGGCTTGTCTACACCTGGAGTTATTCTGGAATAGCTCTGACTGATCAGCGCCATGTGTGGTAGGCTTCTTCTAGAATAAAATGACCTTGCTCTGGTTTAGTTTAATTTAACTAAAGAGGAATCAGGCACTCTTATTCTGGAAGGAGGGGGCGTACACGTGGAATTAGTCAGGAAGAGCAATGGCATTTTAAATTCACACTTTACCCTAATCTGAATTCAATTTCGAGTGTAGGCAAGCTTTAAGAGGGCCTTTTGCTGGGTTAATTTATGTTGCTTTGGAAGTAGTCTACACTAGGGCGGGGGGTAGACCTAAGATACGCAACTTCAGCTATGCGAATAGTGTAGCTAAAGTCGGAGTATCTTAGGTTGATTTACCTGGCCATGAGGACGGCCGCTCCCCCGTCAACTCCGCTTCCGCCTCTCACCGCGGTGGAGTTCCGGAGTTGACAGCAGAGCGATCGGGGATTGATTTTATCGCGTCTACACTAGACGCAATAAATCGATCCCCGATAGATCGATCATTACCCGCCGATCCGGCGGGTAGTGTAGATGTGCCCTAATCTAAACTGAAGCGACCCTGTTCTCCAGGAATTACAGCATCCACACAGGCAGTTATAAGGGCATAACCAAAGCGGTATAAGTATACAAGTCTAACATCCCATGTGGACAAGTCCTGAGACTTGTCCACATGGAATGTTAGACTTGTATACTTATACCCGGGTTTTGCCACCCTTTAAGTGCATCTCAACCGGTGCATCTCCTAGGGGAGCGGGAAAGGTCTTAGAGTCACAAGGCAAAACCGCGGCTGACAAACAAGGCAAGTTGTCAGGCGCCGAAATGGGCTAATTTTAACGCCACCGTTCACAGGACGAACACGTCACGTTCCAGCTAAGTCCTCCCTTAGCAGGTCTCTGTGAAAACGGCACAG